TGCACACAGGCTATAATTCGGTTTGCACTATACAACACACACGCAAGATTTCAGGTGAAGGCGGGAAGGCGCAGGCTGCTACGGTAGAACCCCCCTACGCGAAACCATTAACAACTGGGCTCGCAGTGCACATCATCAGCAGGAGTGGAAACTTTGCTCTGCGACAGGAGCTTGCGACGCTCCTTTTCATCGGAGCGCCATCGGAGTATGGTACTCTCATCGGAGATCTGGTATGACCCTTCGCGCAGGCATGCCCTGAGCATATCTAAGGCATCAGCTGACTCCTTGGTCATGGCGTCAGCCAGCATACGATCCGTGGGCACCCACCTAAGAGAACCCTGAGTCTTCTGCAAGCTTTCACGAAGGATCACAATGTCTAGTGCAGTACGCTTCTCATCGAGAGTTGGGGCCGAGCGGGACATCAGATGATCGAACAAGCTCTTGCAGTCGGTAACGAAAACACTCTTACGCTTGGCTGCAACGCTCCAGAAGGACCTAAGATGGCACGGTCCATCGATGGCCTCACTCAAAAGCAGGAGAGTCCACTCGGCCATGCCTGAAGCTGTTGCAAGGGCCTGAGCTTCAGCGCTCAAGGTTGAGCTCACGACTCTGGGAAGACGATAGCTCTTCCAAAAGGCCGGCGACCATGCTGTGACTTTATCCTCATCAACACTACGGTCAGTAAACCCTATGACATAGCCAGCTTGAGTGGCACCATCTCGCCCATTGGCATAGGCAGCATCAGAATGACACAGCACGGCCAGGCCGGGGAGCGGAATGCTCCGAAAGGTAATTGACAGCTGCCGGTGCTGCCGAGCCCTTCTTACTGCATTATTAGCGGCTAGCGCATCATTAACCGTAGGTTTGGGGAATGACTGCTGAGAGAAGGAAACCTGGGTGGCTAGGTCGGGACGCGACTGCGACGACAGCCAATTCAAGCTACCATTGATTGCCCTCAGGCACTTAACTTCTTCATCAGTCAAGGGTGAGTGCCGCTCCTGGGCACGTCGGCGAGTCATCCGGAGCGGCCGGATCTTGTCCACAAAGGACTCCTGAGTCATCGTAATCTCAAAGGTCTGAGGATTCTGACGGTAGCGTGCACCGCAGAAGTCACCGTCTCCTAACCGCCACTTACGGAATTCAAACCGACCCTTTAACATCTCAAGTGCTTGCTCATACTTTTCACCCACCCCACCTGTGGCACAATCATCCACGTGGACTCCATAGACTCCTGTGAGTCGTCCCTCATCGCGAAGAAAATAGAGGCATGGGTCCAGGCGGCTTCGTTCGAAGCCGGCCTCGTGAAGGGCCCGGTCCAACGTGCGTTGCCACGCTGACGGGGCGTCATTCAAACCATAGACATGGCCAAGCACCTCGATCAGTGCATCAGACGGAATCCCGGGGATGCCTCCCTGAGGCAACGTAGCATACAGGGGTTTGTACTGGGCTGGGAGAGCACCTGAGGCGAGGAAAGCACCCTTGATATCCCCTAGACGCAGTGTCCACTTGTTTGATGCGAGAATCTGAAACAACATGGAACGACCGACCTGAGACAACGTGGGACTCTGCAAGTCCCCTGCAAGTGCCTTGGTGCGAAGATCGGGGTCGAGGTGACCCTGTAGGCACCAGCGCGCCTTCATGCGACGCGGGGCGTCTTCTTCTTGCTTCCAGGTACACACAAACCTGCTACCCATGATCCTATGGCCAAACCTTTTGCGAACATCCTCTGCTTCACGACCAAACACAATCCTACCTGCATGCCTGCTTTCGATTGTGTTCCATTCTATCAGCTTAGCCTCGTCCACCAAGGGTTGCACATCAAGGGGATTGCCGGTGGCCGGCACTTCCTTGGCGGCTCGCTTGTTCACATGATTTATCACAAGGGTCTCAAAGGATGCGGCTGACGAGAACAAGTCTACGGCATTGGCTTGCACACACAGCGATTCATCTGCTTCCGGAGACGCGTCGGGCGTCGGAGCAGCTCGTTTGGAGCTTGCTGTCTCGGCAGGCTCAGTGGAAGCCTCTCGCTTGGTGCCACGGCTGTCCTGACTTGGCTGACTATTCAACCCTTCACTAGTAGTTGTGGCTTCGAGGGCTTGCGATATAAGCTGAGGCACGACCTCTTGCATCATGTCAGAGAAATCATCGGGAAGCATGCCCTGAGGACGCAGCAGCATAGGACTAGATTTAGCGGACAAACGACGACGCACTGGACCATAGCCCTCCTCTACACCCTCAGCTCTTAAACCACTGACCCCAACACTACTTCCCAAGGCGTTGGCTGCAGCAGACTCCGGAGGCAACACTTGCTCGGCCTCGGTTGAGGTAGCCGAAGCAGCAGCACGTTCCTGTCGAAAGGCCACCTGCGGAGACACGGTGATGGGAGAGTTCATTGGGGCAGGAACTCCTACCTCGTCGGGGGGCTTATCAACCTGCATCGGCTGAGCTGGTTCTTCGGCAGCAGGAGGCGCACCACTGGGCACCAAGTCAATGTACTGCCTGCTTTGAAGCGAACCGGACTC